GAACCCTACGGACTAAGACTGGGGGGCCATTAAAGGTCATGTGCATGGAAAGGGCGGGGCCAACTCAATATTGGACCCTACGGACTAAGACTGGGGGCCATTAAAGGTCGTGTGTGTGGAAAGGGCGGGGCCAACTCAATATTGGACCCTACGGACTAAGACTGGGAGGCCATTAAAGGTCATGTGCATGGAAAGGGCGGGGCCAACTCAATATTGAACCCTATGGACAAAGACTGCGGGGCCATTACGGGTCATGTGCGTGGAAAGGCCGGCAGCCCGATACTTTTTGGCAATATAGTGTGTATATATGTGTGTGTGTATATATATATATATTTTTTTTTTTGAAAGATTTATAAAGATTTAAACATCACCAATACTAAGAAAAGGAATAGATTGCCACCTCCACATTTTGTAATACCAAGTTGCTTTCCTTGTATTTGCTGGAAGACAAGCTCACTTATCTTAGTATCTCATCTATTTAAAACCAACCTATCTTGTTCCTTTGTAGCAGCTGAATGTGTTATTTTGTTTATTCTGAGTTACTTACGTGCCTCTCATGTGACTGGCGAAGTGACAGACACGGTGATGAGACAGGTTGCTGAGGCATTTTCTACACTAAAAGGATTGCACGCTCGAGTAACGAGTCTCTCCGATTGTAGAGGGGCGCATGGGGCAGAAGCAAAGGTCAGCGCGTTGTGTTAATGCCGCACCGAGCGCGCCTTGTTGATGCATCTTTGCCGTTCGCTTAAACAAAACCAATTCCGCTGTCACTCGTGTTTGCCCTTCAGTCCTTGGCGTCTGCAACCTTTCTCCACAAATGCTAACAAATCTTCAGGTTGGCCTAACAAAAGTGAAGATCCGGCAAACTCAGAGCCTGGCACCCAGCTGTAGCAATTTCCGTCTTCTAATGAGCAACCAATCAGATTTCAGGTGCCATTTTGATCGAATAAACCAGATGAAGGTGGCAGTAACAATGTACAGGTGAAACTCCAAAAATGAGAATATGGTGCAAAAGTTCATTTATTTCAGCAATGCAACTTAACCACTTGAGCTCCAGAGGATTTACCCCCCTTAATGACCACGCCTCTTTTTGCCACTCGGCGCTGCACTAATTCAACTGATAATTGCGCGGTCATGCAACGCTGCACCCAAACGAAATTTACGTCCTTTTTTCACACAAATAGAGCTTTCTTTCGGTGGTATTTGATCACCTGTGCGCTTTTTATTTTTCACACTATAAACAAAAAAAGGCCAAAAATTTTGAAGAAAGACAATATTTTTTACTTTCAGCTATAAAAAATATATAGTAAACTCAAAGTTGGTTATAAATTTAGGCCAAAATGTATTCTGCTCCATGTTTTTGGTAAAAAAAATCCCACTAAGTGTATATTGATTGCTTTGTGTGGAAGTTATAGCTAGAGATGAGCGAATCGAACTTGGCGAAGTGGAATTCGTTTTGAATATTAGGAAAAATTCGATTCGCACCGAATCCGAATTTTAGCAAACTTCGGGTGCACGAATCGAATTTTTCCCGATCAGCCGGCAAAAAGTGTCCCTGCAGAGAGCTCCGCTATTTCTGACAGTTCTCTGACAGTTCCTTCACATTTACAGCGGTTGAAACATTGTATCTATTTATTTCCATTTAGGATACAGATGTTTTTATTCGGAAATAAATAGATACAATGTTTCAACCGCTGTAAATGTGAAGGAACTGTCAGAGAACTGTCAGAAATAGCGGAGCTCTCTGCAGATACACTTTTTGCTGTACTGGAATTCTTCTTCTTTTCATTCTTCTTCTTCTTTTTCATTCTTCTTCTTCTTTTCATTCTTCTTCTTTTCTTCTTCTTTTCATTCTTCTTCTTCTTCTTTTCATTCTTCTTCTTCTTCTTTTCATTCTTCTTCTTCTTCTTTTCATTCTTCTTTTCATTCTTCTTCTTTTCATTCTTCTTCTTCTTCTTTTCATTCTTCTTTTCATTCTTCTTCTTTTCATTCTTCTTCTTTTCATTCTTCTTTTCATTCTTTTCATTCTTCTTTTCATTCTTCTCTTCTTCTTTTCTTCTTCTTCTTCTTCTTTTCATTCTTCTTTTCATTCTTCTTTTCATTCTTCTTCTTCTTCTTTTCATTCTTCTTCTTCTTCTTTTCATTATTCTTCTTCTTCTTTTCATTCTTCTTTTCATTCTTCTTCTTCTTTTTTCATTCTTCTTCTTCTTCTTTTCATTCTTCTTTTCATTCTTCTTCTTCTTCTTTTCATTTCTTCTTCTTCTTCTTCTTTTCATTCTTTCTTCTTTTCATTTTCTTCTTCTTCTTCTTTTTCATTCTTCTTCTTCTTCTTTTCATTTCTTCTTCTTCTTCTTTTCATTCTTCTTTTCATTCTTCTTCTCATTCTTCTTTTCATTCTTCTTCTTCTTCTTCTTCTTTTCATTCTTCTTCTTTTCATTCTTCTTTTCATTCTTCTCATTCTTCTTTTCATTCTTCTTTTCATTCTTTCTCATTCTTCTTTTCATTCTTCTTCTTCTTCTTTTCATTCTTCTTCTTCTTCTTTTCATTCTTCTTCTTCTTCTTTTCATTCTTCTTTTCATTCTTCCTCTTCTTCTTTTCATTCTTCTTCTTCTTCTTTTCATTCTTCTTTTCATTCTTCTTCTTCTTCTTCTTTTCATTCTTCTTCTTCTTCTTTTCATTCTTCTTTTCATTCTTCTTCTTCTTCTTCTTTTTCTTCTTCTTCTTCTTTTCATTCTTCTTTTCATTCTTCTTCTTTTCTTTTTCATTCTTCTTCTTCTTCTTTTCATTCTTCTTTTCATTCTTTCTTCTTCTTTTTATTCTTCTCATTCTTCTTTTCATTCTTCTCATTCTTCTTTTCATTCTTCTTTTCATTCTACTTCTCATTCTTCTTTTCATTTTCTTCTTCTTCTTTTCATTCTTCTTCTTCTTCTTTTCATTCTTCTTTTCATTCTTCTTCTTCTTCTTTTCATTCATTCTTCTTCTTTTCATTCTTCTTTCATTTTTCATTCTTCTCATTCTTCTTTTCATTCTTCTTTTCATTTTTCTTCTCATTCTTCTTTTCATTCTTCTTCTTCTTCTTTTCATTCTTCTTCTTCTTCTTTTCATTCTTCTTCTTCTTTTCATTCTTCATTCTTCTTTTCATTCTTCTTTTCATTCTTCTTCTTCTTCTTTTCATTCTTCTTCTTCTTCTTTTCATTCTTCTTCTTCTTCTTTTCATTCTTCTTCTTCTTCTTTTCTTCTTCTTTTCTTCTTCTTCTTCTTCGTCGTGCCCCGTGACTGCCCAAATGAGTGAAGTGTGCGGTGATTCTAAGATCGACGGCACTCATCTGCATGTCATACTGACTGACAGTATTATTTCTCTTCCCCAGCAGACTCCAAGGGCATTTAAATTAAAGGTACAGTGTTCTGCACTAATATAATATAAAGGCTCTCTGAAGCCTAGAAACCCTTTAATAAGTTAAATTCGCGGCGAATAAATTCGCATCGAATCAAATTTATTCCGCAAATTCGGCGAATCAGCCGAATCAAATTTTTGAATAATTCGCTCATCTCTAGTTATAGCGTCTACAAACTATGGTATAGATACTGGGATTTATGCCATTTTTTTGCTATACAGCGCTGCGCTAGTTTAACGGACAATTGCGCGGTCATGCAATACGGTACATAAATGAAATTTACATCCATTTTTTTCCCACAAATTGAGCTTTCTTTTGGTGGTATTTGATCACCTGTGCGGTTTTTATTTTTTGCGCTATAAAAAAAAAGGCTGACAATCTTGAGGAAAAAAAAACAATATTTTGGACTTTTTGGTATAAAACATGTCCAGTAAAAAAAAAATGCAAAAATCAAATTTATTACAATAAATATTTTGCACTAGTAAATATATCTGTGAGACAAAAAAAAAACAAATATATATACCGTATTTGCCGGCGTATAAGACGACCCCCTACTTTCCTGTTAAAATATAGGGTTTGAGCTATACTCGCTGTATAAGACTACCCCCTTCCAACACACACCAAATAAAAATGAAAAAACATCAGATTTGATTTCAATATGGTATGCTATTTCAGTATGGTATTCCAATGATGGGGTGCTATTCCTCCCATCATTGGTGTCAGTGGGAGGAATAGTGCCCCATCATTGGTGTCAGTGGGAGGAATAGTGCCCCATCATTGGTGTCAGTGGGAGGAATAGTGCTCCATCGTTGGTGTCAGTGGGAGGAATAGTGCCCCATCATTGGTGTCAGTGGGAGGAATAGTGTCCCATCATTGGTGTCAGTGGGAGGAATAGTGCCCCATCATTGGTGTCAGTGGGAGGAATAGTGCCCCATCATTGGTGTCAGTGGGAGGAATAGTGCCCCATCATTGGTATCAGTGGGAGGAATAGTGCCCCATCATTGGTGTCAGTGGGAGGAATAGTGTCCCATCATTGGTGTCAGTGGGAAGAATCGTGCCCCATCATTGGTGTCAGTGGGAGGAATAGTGTCCCATCATTAGTGTCAGTGGGAGGAATAGTGCTCCATCATTGGTGTCAGTGGGAGGGATAGTGCCCCATCATTGGTGTCAGTGGGAGGAATAGTGCCCCATCATTGGTGTCAGTGGGAGGAATAGTGTCCCATCATTAGTGTCAGTGGGAGGAATAGTGCTCCATCATTGGTGTCAGTGGGAGGGATAGCGCCCCATCATCATTGGTGTCAGTGGGAGGAATAGCGCCCCATCATTGGTATCAGTGGCAGGAATTGCGCCCCATCATTGGTGTCAGTGGGGGGAATAGCGCCCATCATTGGTATCAGTGGAAGGAATAGTGCCCCATCGTTGGTATCAGTGGGGAGAATAGTGCCCCATCATTGGTGTCAGTGGGGGGGGGGAATAGTGCGCCATCGTTGGTGTCAGTGGGAGGAATAGTGCCCCATCATTGGTGTCATTGGGGAGGAGGAATAGTGCCTCATCGTTGGTGTGAATGGGGGAGGAATAGTGCCCCATCATTGGTGTCATTGGGGAGGAGGAATAGTGCCCCATCGTTGGTGTCAGTGGGGGAGGAATAGTGCCCCATCGTTGGTGTCAGTGGGGGAGGAATAGTGCCTCATCATTGGTGTTAGTGGGGGAGAGGAATAGTGCCCTATCATTGGTGTCAGTGGGGGGGGGGGAATAGTGCGCCATCGTTGGTGTCAGTGGGGGAGGAACAGTGCCTCATTGTTGGTGTCAGTGTGGAGGAGGAATAGTGCCTCATCGTTGGTGTGAATGGGGGAGGAATAGTGCCCCATCATTGGTGTCATTGGGGAGGAGGAATAGTGCCTCATCGTTGGTGTGAATGGGGGAGGAATAGTGCCCCATCATTGGTGTCATTGGGGAGGAGGAATAGTGCCCCATCGTTGGTGTCAGTGGGGGAGGAATAGTGCCCCATCGTTGGTGTCAGTGGGGGAGGAATAGTGCCTCATCATTGGTGTCAGTGGGGGAGAGGAATAGTGCCAAGAGTGTCACAGCATGGTGCTACTGCACACTTACTGGCCGCTCCCTCACTCGATTTTCGCGGGGGGGGGCCGCTCGGCTCCGCCTCCTTGTCGGTGATTGGTCGCCTGTGTGCCTTTCCAGTGCTGGCGCCAAATCACCGGTGAGAATGCGGAGCCGAGCGGCCGAACTGAAAGAAGGAGCAGCCGTGCTTCCTGGACCAGATCGTCGTGGGACCGGGACCGGAGCCAGGTAAGGTACAGCAGCCCCCTGCCCGCCCCTGTACTTAGTGTCCCTTCCGCCACCGCGCCGCCCCTCGAAAAAGTGCCGCCCTGACACCGGCTCGCCGTATACCGGCGTATAAGACGACCCCCGACTTTTCAGAAGATTTATTTGGGTTAATAAGTTGTCTTATACGCCGGCAAATACGGTATATGAATAATAATTAAAAAAGAAAAAAGTTCAAATAATAAGTCCACAATTTAAGATATAAATGACACAAAAAATGTGCAAAAAAATGTCTAAATGTGACAAACCACCACCAAAAAAACTAAATAAACTCACCAGAACTAAAAACAAATATTGCTCTGGGAATGATGATATGATGGCAAGTCATCCGTAGGTATATCTTCAGGAAATGAAATTCTGCAGAACACCGATCCACATAGACCAGTGGTCGGCAAGCCGCGGCTCGCGAGCCACATGCGGCTCTTTACCCACTCTAATGCGGCTCTTCTGTGTGCCGGGCGCCCGCTCCCCTCCCTCCTCTTGGTCGGCCGCTCCCCTGCCTCCTCTCGGTTGGCAGCCCCAAAAGTCCGCGCGGACCTTTTAATCCGGCCCCCGGATGTGGCTGTCAGGATGTGTGTAGGCGGGGCAGCGTGCCGAACGTGAGGGGAGGGGAGCTAGGCTCCTCTCACAGTCCGCCCTGAAGACCCGAACGGCGCGGGAAGACAACGAGAGGAACGCAAAAGGTAAGTAAATTGACACGGGGGACTTGGCTTACTAGAAGGGGGGGATAGTACTGTGGGGGATGAAATACTATATGAGGGATGAAATACTATATGAGGGATGAAATACTTTATGAGGGATGAAATACTATATGGGGGATGAAATACTATATGGGGGGATGAAATACTATATGGGGGATGAATTACTATATGGGGGATGAATTACTATATGGGGGATGAATTACTATATGAGGGATGAAATACTATATGAGGGATGAAATACTTTATGAGGGATGAAATACTATATGAGGGATGAAATACTATATGGGGGGATGAAATACTATATGAGGGATGAAATACTATATGGGGGGATGAAATACTATATGAGGGATGAAATACTATATGAGGGATGAAATACTATATGAGGGATGAATTACTATATGAGGGATGAAATACTATATGGGGGGATGAAATACTATATGGGGGGATGAAATACTATATGAGGGATGAAATACTATATGAGGGATGAATTACTATATGAGGGATGAAATACTATATGAGGGATGAATTACTATATGGGGGGATGAAATACTATATGAGGGATGAAATACTATATGGGGGGATGAAATACTATATGAGGGATGAAATACTATATGGGGGGATGAAATACTATATGAGGGATGAAATACTATATGGGGGGATGAAATACTATATGAGGGATGAAATACTATATGAGGGATGAATTACTATATGAGGGATGAAATACTATATGAGGGATGAATTACTATATGGGGGGATGAAATACTATATGAGGGATGAATTACTATATGGGGGGATGAAATACTATATGAGGGATGAAATACTATATGAGGGATGAAATACTATATGGGGGGATGAAATACTATATGAGGGATGAAATACTATATGAGGGATGAAATACTATATGAGGGATGAATTACTATATGGGGGATGAAATACTATATGAGGGATGAAATACTATATGAGGGATGAAATACTATATGGGGGATGAAATACTATACGGGGGATGAAATACTATACGAGGGAAGAAATACTATACGGGGGATGAATTGCTATGGGGGATGAATTACTATATGGGGAATGAATTACTATGGGGGATGAATTACTATGGGGGATGAATTACTATGGGGGATGAATTACTATATGGGGGATGAATTACTATATGGGGGATGAATTACTATATGGAGGATGAATTACTATATGGGGGATGAATTACTATGGGGGATGAATTACTATGGGGGATGAATTACTATGGGGGATGAATTACTATATGGGGGATGAATTACACTATGGGGGATGAATTACTATATGGGGGATGAATCACTATGGGGGATGAATTACTATATGGGAGATGTATTTTCAGTTTTAAAAATGTGGCTCTCAAAATAAATTTCAATCATGGTTTTGGCGAGATTTGGCTCAGTTGAAAAAAAAGGTTGCCCACCACTGACATAGACCAATATCAAAATGGAAAAAACTTTTTGGAAAAAACTTTTCAAATTATCAAGGAAATCCACTTCTCCAGAAAAGCCACCTTCAATCGTATCCAAGGAAGAAGATGCCAAGCACTCGAAAGAAACAAGAGAACTTCATGGTGCAGTATTATTAAAAACAAAATTCCTTTATTAGGTACTCATTGCACTTACCTCAGGAGGTGTCCCAGCCGACACCAGCGTCAACAGCATAACAGCAATCACAGAAAACGAACCCAGCTACTCAGCAAATGCGCAGTAGCTCGTAGACAAACCTAATGACGTCACATCGATCAAGCTCCGCCCTACGCGTTTCGTCATCGACGTCCTCAGGGAAGTGACAGACAGCACAGCTACTGCAGCTGTGCTCTCTGTCACTGACTGCCGCCGATCGCCGGGACATAGCCGCTAAGGACCGGCTTTGACCCGGCGACTCACCTCTGCGGCGGTGATCCGCGGGACAGATAGGGCGGCGGCGCGCCTCACGCTCGCCCCCTATTTGTTTACAAAACACACGTTTTAAAACGTGGTTTTGCCTGCGAGTGCCGCCCTGCCGTCGTATATCTACAGTGGCTGGGCGGCAAGTGGTTAAAAGGTGACACTAATATATGAGATTCATTCCATGCAAAGCAAGATAGTTCAAGCCGTGATTTGTCATCATTGTGATGATTATGGCTTACAGCTCATGAAAACCCCAAATCCACAATCTCAGAAAATGAGAATATTCCATGCAATCAATAAAACACGGATTGTACATAGAACAATATCGCACCTCTGAAAAGTAGAAGCTGCATATGTACTCAGTACTTGGTTGGGGCCCCTTTTGCAGCAATTACTGCCTCAATGCGGCGTGGCATGGAAGCTATCAGCCTGTGGCACTGCTGAGGTGTTATGGAAGACCAGGATGCTTCAATAGCGGCCTTCAGCTCTTCTGCATTGTTTGGTCTCATGTCTCTCATCTTTCTCTTGGCAATGCCCCATAGATTCTCTACGGGGTTCAGGTCAGGCGAGTTTGCTGGCCAATCAAGCACAGTAATCCCACGGTCATTGAAGCATGTTTTGTATATCCAATTGAAGACTGTAATACATATATAAACGTTACGTTTTCAAGTGGTTTGCTGGGGTTATGGCTGAAGATATCAACGGTACCATTTCTATTCAGTGGACAGCCATCTTTCACATGAAAGCGGTCCTAGCAGCTCTTGCTCTCGCAGCTCTTGAGCCGCTGGATGGCTTTCTGTTGTGGCAGAAGGGGACTCCCCACTCCCTCCACTCGCCGGTGTGCTTAGAGTTAACGCGGCAGGCTCGAGAAACAATCTGATGGTGCGGCCGGCTGAAGATGGAGGCGATGAAAGACTCTATGGTCTTTGATTGTCTCTATCATGATGGAGGACCGGAGCGATGTCATGACGTCACATCCAGGGGCGGACTGACCATTTGGAAACTCTGGCACTGCCCGAGGGCCCGGGGTCAGTAGGGGGCCCCATGAGATGCCCCTGGTGCCTTTTTCATAGGCTTTTTTGAGTTTGGGCAAGGACACAGGGGCCCCATGATCCTCTATTGCCCCGGGGGCCCCATGAGTTGTCAGTCCGCCCCTGGTCGCATCTGGTCACTGGCGGAAGTAAACAAGTTTTTTTATTTTTTAAAGCAAAAGTTAAAAAAAAAAATATCTTTTGATTCTTTTGCCTTTAAAGCTAAAGAAGAGGTTTGGGTTCTTTTTGACCCCAAATCTCTTCTTAAAGAGGACCTGTCATACACATTTCTATTACAAGGGATGTTTACATTCTTTGTAATAGGCATAAAAGTGATTAAAAAAAAGAATTAAAGGGACAGTGTAAAAATTAAACAAAAATATAAAAAAAATAAGAAAAACATTTTTAAATGCGCCCCCACCCCGATGTGCTCATGTGTAGAAGTGAACGCATACGTAAATCATGCACGCATATGTAAACGATCTTCACAGAACACATGTGGTGGATCGCCTCGAACGTTAGAGCAAGAGTAATTATTCTAGTGCTGGACCTCCTCTGTAACTAAAAATACCATGTAATAAAAAATTGCAGTGATTGCCATTTCATTCTCTGTAATCTTTGAAAAAAAAAAAAAAAATATATATATATATATATATATATATATATATATAAAATGTTTTGGGGTTATGAGTCATTTTATAGCAAAAAATACAGATTTAAACAAAACGCCCCAGAAAATGCTTGGTCTTCAAGTGGATATAGATACACCAGGGGCGGACTGACAATTCATGGGGCCCCCAGGCAATAAGGGATGATGGGGCCCCTGTGTCCTTGCCCAAACTCAAAAAAGCTTATGAAAAAAGGTACCAGGTGCATCTCATGGGGCCCCCTACTGACCTTGGGCCCCTGAGCACTGCCAGAGCTTCCAAATGGTCAGTCTGCCCCTGAGACAGATAGACAGATAGATAGATAGATAGATAGATAGATAGATAGATAGATAGATAGATAGATAGATAGAAATGCTATGGGGCCCTGGGGGTGGGTGGGGGAAACATTAGGGAGT